CTTCTTAGTAGCTTCCAGCTCTATTGACTCAGGCCTTAGGTTTTGTGATCCAAGGATCCCTTTGTTGCTGTCTTTTATTAGGACACTCAGAAAAAGGCATGTCCTAGCATTGCTAGGAACCAAATACTCTTCCTACTCTGGCTTTTGGTCTGTGTTGAGGAATTCATCTGCAGGGGGCTTGCAAGAGCAAACCTGTAAAACAAGATGAAGGAGGAGGGAAGTTAAAGCAGCTTATAAATGAGTAACAGTTTATTAATTCATGTAAGGACTTGTAGATGACAACCTCCAGCAAGGCCAGACAAATGGGAATTCTGAAATTATCTTTCTGAACCCTTTTAACTTCAAGGCTGCTCTAGCTACATATGAGGAAAACAGAGGAAAAGAAAGTATTCCATAGGACTGAAATTACCAACCTTTTTGGAGTTCCTGCATTATTTTATGCTTGGTTTTCTAATATTGTCCTTTCCTCTAGGACAGTATTGTCATGTGGTATATATTTCTTTAATTAATTAAAGAAACTTAAATTTCATTTTAAGAATTTCATAATACTTCAGATATTTTATAATACTCTAGTTATGTACTGTGCCATACCACAATTGATAATAATTGCCTTGGCAATTCCATAAAAACTATTGATTGCTTATTCGATTTTGCTTACATGATTGTAAGCAAAAAAAAAGAGGTTCCTTTCTCTAATCCATACTTTCTGCAGCCCCTAAAATAATTATTTTAATGTTATCTATCTGGTCATACTACTTAGAATTACAGAATTTCAGATCTAGATGCTTACCTGAATAGAAATCCTTTATATGAGATCTTTGACAAATAATCATCCAGCCTTTGCGTGCAGACTTGCAGGGAGAAGGAAGCCCACTGCCTCTGAGTGAGCCCATTCTGCTTCTGAATTGCTGACAGGAAGCTTCCCTTAAAGTGCCTAAATTTGCTTCTTTGCATTCTCCACTTTGGGACCAAGCACAACTCCTTTTTTCGTGTTGACAGCCCTTCAGATGCTTGACAACCACAATGTCTCCCCAGCTATTGTCTTCTCTGCATTCGCCTGTCTTCATATTTAACCAGTTCAACTGGCTCAGCCTTTGAATCTTTTGTCTAGTTGTTCTTTCCCCAGCACTTATCCCATTTTCTGCCTTCTCTGCCCCTGTCTGTGTGCTGCTGAATGTTTCTGGAGTAAAGCCATACAAATTTTGACTCAGTTCACTATGTATGTGTTACCTAAGATGTTGGGCCTTTACTTCTGCCTCTTTTTTTCTCTTCTTTGAGAGTCAGAATCCCATCTCTTCACAGTGGTCGTTACAAGCCTTGTCTTCTTTATCAGTAAAGTAAGTAATTACTAAATGCCTGCTCTGTGCTAGACGCGAGAGCCAAAGACAAAATTCCTGCTGTCAAGGAGCCTACATACATTCTGTTGGGGAAGCCACCTATTGATGAATATCTTCCTCTCAGCAGAGGACTCACTTCATAATTCAGTTGGAAAATCGAGGTCATCAGTCAAAAAATTCCCCCTTCTACCCAGGTTCACCTTTCATATCACCTCAGCATTATCCCACTTTCTTTTGCTCATTTGCTTCAACTAGAAAGGATATAGTGGCTCCTGTCCTTTTGCACACCTATTCCCTCTGCTTGTGCCTTTGATTTCTGCCCCTTTGATCATATACCTCTCTCTCCCCCTAATTTTCAGTTTCTCTTTAGGGTTTTTTCCTAATGCATAGGTAGGTAGAACATTTTCAGTGACAGTGACCTCTAGATGAAATACAAATTCATCAGACCGATATTTAAAAGCCAAAAAACTTTGGTTCCTGTTTACTTACCCAGCTGTATTTATTTTTAAAAAAATATTTAATTTTATTTTCAGTTACATGTAAAAACAATCTTTAATGTATTTTTTTTTTAAATTTTGAGTTCCAAATTCTCTCCCTTCCATCCTCCCCTCCCCTCCATTGAGAAGGCAAGCAATTTGATACAGGTGTTACAGTCATGCAAAACGTATTTCCATATTAGTCATATTATAAAAGAAAACACAGGCCAAAAAAAACCACAAGAAAAATAAAGTTTAAAAATGCTTCAGTCTGCATTCAGACTCCATCAGTTGTTTCTCTGGAGGTAGATGGTATTTTTCATCATTAAGTCCTTCAGAATTGTCTTGGATCTTGTATTGCTGAGAATAGCTAAGTCTTTCATAGTTGATCAACCTTACAGTGTTGCTGTTACTGTGTACGAGGTTCTTCTGGTTCTGCTCAATTCACTTTATATCAGTTTATGTCTGTTTTTCTAGGTTTCTCTGAAAGTTTGTCATTTCTTATAGCACAGTAATATTCCATCACAATCATATACCACAGCTTGTTCATACATTCCCCAGTTGATGGTTATCTTCTCAATTTCCCGTTCTTTGCCATCATAAACTTTATTTTTGTACATATACGTCCTTTTCCTTTTTTTTTTTAAAATCTCTGCGATACAGACCTACTAGTGGTATTGCTGGGTCAAAGGATATGCCCAGTTTGATTATCATTTGGACATAGTTCCAAATTGCTCTCCAGAATGGTTGGATCAGTTCACAGCTCTACCAGTAGTGCATTAGTGTCCTAATTTTTCCACATCCCCTCCAACATTTATCATTTTCCTTTTCTGTTATATTAGCTAATATGATAGGGTGGTACCTCAGAGTTGTTTTAATTTGCATTTCTCTAATCAACAGTGATTTAGAGCATTTTTTCATATGACTACAGATAACTTTTGATTTCTTGATTTGAAAACTGCCTATTCATATTATTTGACCATTTATGAATTGGGGAATGACTTATGTTCTTATAAATTTGACTCAGTTCTCTGTATATTTGAGAAACGAGGTCTTCATCAGAGAAACTTGCTGTAAAGTTTTTCCCTCAATTTTCTACTTTCCTTTCTAATCTTGACTGCATTGGTTTGTTTGTGTACAATCTTTTTAATTTAATGTAATCAATTATTATCCATTTTATATCTGATTCCCTTATCCATAGATCTGGCTGGTAAACTCTTCTGTGCTCCGGTTAATTTGCTTATGATATCATTCTTTATGTGTAAATCATTTATCTATTTTGATCTTATCTTGGAATATGGTGTGAGATGTTGGTTTACACCTAGTTTTTGCCAAATTGTTTTCCAGTTTTCCCCAGAAAGTTTTTGTCTTTTATTTTCCCTCTGTTTCTTCTCTTCCTCTTCATCTTCCTCCTCACTGTCCTCCGTCCTCCTCAAGTGTTTTGCTTCTGACCACCACCTCCCCCCCTGCTTTCCTATCAGTTCCCTCCCTTCTAATTTTCTCCCCCTTATAATTTTCCCTCCCTTCCCGTTTCCTTGTAGGGTAAGATAGATTTCTATGCCGAGTGTGTATGTCATTCCCTCTTTGAGCCATTTGTAATGAGAGTAAGATTCAAACATGGTGCATCTCGCCCCCCCCCCCATGTCTTCTCCAGTGCAAAAGCTCCTTTTTGCCTCATTTATGGGAGATAATTTACCCTGTTCTACCTCTCTCTTCCTCTTTCTGCCAGTGCATCCCTCTTTCTCACCCCTTAATTTTTTTTCTATCATTCCATCATAGTCAGCTTAAAGACAAAGTTCATAGGATTTAGAAGTATCATCTTCTCATGTCAGAAGGCAAATAGTTTAACTTTATTTAATGCCTTATGGTTTCTTTTTCATTTTTACCTTTTTTTATGCTTCTCTTGAGTCTTGTATTTGAAAGTCAAGTTTTCTATTCAGCTCTGGTCTTTTCATCAGGAATGTTTTAAAGTCCTTGATTTCATTAAGTGTTAATTTTTTTCCCATGAAGGGTTGTGCTCAGTTTTGTTGGGTAGGTGATTCTTGGTTGTAATCCTAGTTCTTTGCCTTCTGGAGTATCACCTTTCAAGCCCTCCTATCTTTTAATGTAGAAGCTGCTATCTTGTGTTAGCATAACTGTTGAATTATTCCTTTCTGGCTGCTTTCAGTAGTTTCTTCTTGATCTGGGAACTCTGGAATTTGGCTATAATATTCCTGGGAATTTCATTTTGGAATCTCATTGAGGAGGTGATCAGTGAATTCTTTCAATTTCTATTTTATCCTCTGGTTCTAGGATATCAGGGCAGTTTTTCCTTGGTAATTTCTTGAAAGATGATTTCTAGGCTTTTTTTTTTTTGAAGGGCATGCACAATTTTTATTATTTAAAAACACAAATGATTAACTGTAAAAGGAAACACTTGATATAATTGTTTCTTTTCAGTGATTTGGAACATGTGGATACACGCTACGTCTAAGATACATGTAAAATGAAATTTTTGGAAACATAATAGTCTATATCATTTCTAGCTATCTCTCAGTGGAGATTTGAAGGAGGGGTGGGAGAAGCTTCCTAAACTATTCTTATAGCAGAGGGTGTGATATATAGATTGCACTAGATTGAATCTCCTTCCAGTTGTTTTCCCAAGTGGTATAAAGCTCTCCTCCTTCCTATTTGAAATGTTTATTTCTGAACAGAGCTCTGAGGAGATTAGACTCTTTTTTGATCATGACTTTCAGGTAGTCCAATAATTCTTCAGCCATCTTTCCTGGTTCTGTTTTCCAGGGCCGTTGTTTTTCCAAAGAGATATTTCACGGTTTCTTTCTTTCTTTCTTTCTTTTTTTCATTCTTGTGACTTTTTCTTGTGGAGTCATTAGCTTACACTTGGTCAATTCTGATTTTTAGGGAATACATCTTTGTAAATACATCTTTGCTGAGCTTTGAAGAAAGCCAGGGATCTGAGAGACAGAGATGAAGAAGGGAGGGCATTATAGGCTTGGGGCGGTAGTATGTGCAAAGGCACAGAGCTGGGAGAGGGGTGATTGGTACAGATCACAGCCAGCAAGTGGGCTAGTGTAATGGGAATGTGGAGTTCATGGGATGGGTGAGTGAGTGTAATGTGTCTGTAGTTGGAGCCATTCCTAAAATGCGCTGGGCCAACCATGTGTATGCTCTGCTTCCTTCTTCACAGAGAGAATCTTAAAAAGCATCCACACATCAGGAAGATCCTGGGAGTTTCTTGAAACTACTTTGGGAGCTCGTGACATAGTTGCTAACTTTCCTTCATTGCTGTACGGCTGATTCAGTTCAGGTCTGGGATGCAGTTCTTCCCTGATTCTCTTCTTTTCCAAAACTCTCATAGAGTAGGTGGCTCCTGAAAAGTGGCTCAGTGGAGGGCATTTTTGCTGTGGCATTTCCTCCCCTTGGTTTCAGTCTTGGCATGGACCTGAGCACAATTCCCTCCTAAAGAATAGTGGTACACACAATATTGTTGACTTTAAATAAAAACGAAATTACATTCAACTTTTGATGTACCCATGTATTCCTTAATTTTGCTGGAGTCCACTCTTTAGGACTAGATGTTCTCTATTCTGAATTTGCCTAAAAACATCAAATTTTACCCCATTTCAATAATTAGATACTCAAAAACTTTGTTTATTGAATTGACTCCAATCTGATTATATTTGTTTTCACCTATAATTTCAAGAAGCCAATTTGTGATGAATTTCTTCTCCCATTCTTCCCCTGCCGTTGGTATGCTGTAAAACATTTTTAGGCATGTATTAAGTAGAATGAGGAAAAAAAAACCTTGCGTCTAAACAACTTTTTAAAAAATTAATTTATTTTGATTTATCAACAATCACTTCCATATGCTTTTGAATTTTAAAATTTATCTCCCCCTTCCTTCCCAAGATGGCACACAATCTGATATAGGCTATACATATACATTCCTATTAAATATATTTTCACATTAGTGATGCTAAACAATACTTTTAAGAAGCTATTCCACAGTTGTTTATATGGTTTGACCCAGGGATTCCACTATTAGATCGATATCCCAATCAGTGAGAAAATGAAGAGTCCCATATACACCAACATTTCTAGCAATGCTTTTTGTAGTGACAAAGAAGAAATAGCAGATCAAGTGGGTATCTACAAATTGTGATACATGAATGTAGTGAAATATCACTAAGTGCTGTAAGGAAACGAACATGCTGAATACAGAGAGGCATGGGAAGGTTTGTGTGAATAGACAGAAAGCGAAGTAACTAGAGCCAAGAAAATAACATACCACGCTGACTGTGGCAGTGTAAATGGAAAGAACAACAACGGCAAAGCAATCAAGTCCTCTTAAATGATAATAATCCAAAGGGCTCACTGTTGAGCAAAAATAGCTGGAAAACCTGGAAGCAGTCCTGCAGAAGTTAGGTACACTCTTTACCAAGGTAAGCTTCAGATGGATGCATGAGTTAGATATAAAGGATCACATCATAAACAGTAGGAAAGAAGATATCTTGTGCAGTTGTGGTTAGGGAAAGTGTTTATGATCGATTGTGGCATAGAAAGGATCACAGAAAATAAAATGGACGCTTTTGATCATGTAGAATTAAAAAGTTATTTCATAAACAAAGAGTGAAGTTGAAAATAGTTAACGGAAAAAGATCTTGGTAGCAAGTCTTTCTGAAAAAGGTCTCATATCTAAGATAAAAAGAAATGATACAGGTTTATAAAAACAAGAATTATTTCCCACTAGATAAGTGATCAAAGGCACTTTTCAAGGAAAGAAATGCAACTTATCAACAAGGATATGAAAAAATGCTCCAGAGATCACTAACCCACTCTCAGGTTCTGCCTCACACCCAGTCATGTTGAGAATGGTGACCAGTAAAAAGATGTGACCATTGTTGGAATGATTATGAGGAAACAGGTACATTAATGCATTATTGATTGAGCTTATGAATTGGTCTGGCCATTTGGGAAAGCACTTTGGAATTGTGCCCAAAACATCACTTAGCTATGTAATGTCCATTGACCCAGAGGTACCATGACTAACCTGATATCTCAAAAAGATCGTAGAAGGAGTAAAAGGATCCACATGTACAAAAATACTCATAGCAGTGCTCTTTGTTATAGCAAAGAACTGGAACTTAAAGAGATTCCCAAAGACAACAACTTTGAAAGGCTTAAGATCTCTGTTTGATGCAGTGACCAGCTGCAATTCAGAAGTCTGATGATGAAGCTTACTACCAAACTCCTAATAGAGAGGTTCATGGACTCAAGTTGCAGAATCAGACCTACATTTTTGGACAAAGCAAATGTGGGAATTTGTTTTGCTTGACCGACTATGCTTGTTTCTCTTTTTCTTTTTTTTTTTTTAATTATTTATTTATTTTTAGTTTTCAACATTCACTTCCACAAGATTTTGAGTTCCAAATTTTCTCCCTTGTCCCTCCCCACCCCAAGACGGCATGCATTCTGATTACCCCCTTCCCCTAATCTGTCCTTCCTTCTGTCTCCCTGCTCCTTCTCTTATCCCCTTTCTCTTCAATTTTCCTATAGGGCAGGATAGATTTCTGCATCCCATTTCCTGTATATCTTATTTCCCAGTTGCATGTGAAAACAATTTTTTTTTGGCTAGGCAGTGGGGTTAAGTGACTTGCCCAGGGTCACACAGCTAGTAAGTGTTATGTGTCTGAGGCCTAATTTAAACTCAGGTCCTCCTGAATCCAGGGCCGGTGCTCTATCCACTGTGCCACCTAGCTGCCCCTGAAAACAATTTTTTAACATTTGTTTTTAAAACTTTGGGTTCCAGATTTTCTCCCTTCCTCCCTCCCCACCCACCCTCATTGAGAAGGCAAGCAACTCAATACAGGTTATATATGTGTAGTCATGCAGAACACTTCCATGGTAGTCATGTTTTGAAAAATCAGGTATATTTCCCTTAATCCTATCACACCTCCCATTTGTTCTATTCTGTCTTTTGACCCTGTCCCTCCTTGAAGTATTTGCTTCTGATTACCCCCTTCCCCAATCTACCCTCCCCTCTATCATCCTCCGGTTCTCTTGTCCCCTCCCCCCACATTTTTCTGTAGGGTAAGATAGATTTCCATACCCAAATGAACATGTGTGTTATTCCCTTCTTAAGCCAAATCCAATGAGAATGAGATTCACTCTTTCCCTCTCACCTTCCCCCGTTTCCCCTCCACTGTAAAAGCCTTTTCTTGTCTGTTTTATGTGAGATAGTTTACCCCATTCTACCTCTCCCTTTCACCTTCTCCCGGTATAATCCTCTCTCACCCCTTAATTTTATTTTCCAGATATCACCCCTTTATCTTCAACTCATCCTGTGCCCTCTATTTATCTCTCTCTCTGTCTATATATACATACATATAATTTTTCCTATCCAGCTACCCTAATACTGACAAAGGTCTCATGAGTTACAAATATCATCTTTCCATGCAGGAATGTCAACAGTTCAACCTTAGTAAGTCCCTTACTATTTCTCTTTCCTGTTTACCTCTTCATGTTGCTCTTAAGTCTTGTATTTGAAAGTTAAATTTTCTATTCAGCTCTGGTCTTTTCATCAAGAGTGCTTGAAAGTCCTCTATTTCACTGAATGTCCATTTTGTCCCCTGAAAGATTATACACAGTTTTGCTGGCTAGGTGATTCTTGGTTGTAATCCTATCTCCTTTTGACCTCTGGAATATTATATTCCAAGCCCCCTCCCCCCCCGGTCCCTTAATGTAGAAGCTTGCATATTTCTTACAAGTGCTTTTTCCTTTTTTCTCAATTTGGATAGGAAAAGGAAAGCTAGAAATAATGTGTCCCTGAAAAAGGAAAGGAAAGAAAAATGAGGGTCATTGAAACATGTTTCTGAAATTCACAGAATAGAACGGAAGGAAAGCTAGAAGGGAATCACAGACAAGCAGGATAGCTTGGAAAGTTACGTGGTGAATTTATTATATATTTGTGTGTAATATGATGTAATTATGTATATATTGCTTAGTTTTGCTCAACTTTTTTCCTTCTTTTTTCTGTATTTTCTGGGAAGGGGTAGAGAGAGTAAGTGGGAAATGTAGGTGATATAAAAACAGGTATGAATAAAATTTTATTTAAAAAAAACACAAAAATTTATCTTGTAATAGCTACTCCTGGCAAAGGGTTTATTTTTAGCCATGGGGTATAACATTTCAAAGGGAAAAACTGTCAGTGATGGAAGGTTCTTTTAGTTGTGAATCAGAAGAGTTATTTTAGGGTGTTCTAATCCCTGCTTTTCTGCTGGTTTATTGGGGGTCTTGGATAATCTACAAAAGACTCTTGGAAACAGAATCTTTGTGCTTTTACTGAACTATATTCTTTTGGCCAATTGGGAGGAATGATTCTTAAGCTGTGGGTATGCTGCTTAACTGGTCAGTAGTCTTTGGTTTGATGGGACTCATTTGATATGAGTCTTTGCACTTGTGGGGAAACCTTATTTTTGTTACGTTGTTTTTGATGGCTTTTTCATGCTGCTTGAACTGCCCCTGTCATGCCTTCTACGTATATTCAGTAACAAAGGAAAAAGAAAGAAATCTCAGCTGCTCTGAATACGTGCCAGTGCTCAAGTAAGTTCTCTGCTGGAGTTTCTTCTGTTTATGAAACAGATTAAAATACAGAATGGCCCTTAGGCCTCTGTGTCCAACTCATTTAAAAAGTCTGAGTTGATTGTGAAGAGGTCTCTTCACATAGTATGATGTATAGAGAAAGTCATTTTGTACATGATTCATTTCTCTAAATGTATTGTCTTTATGCTTGACTCATTTGCTTTGTGTGTACCTATTATTCACTGGTACTCTTTTCTTCTTTCCTCCCCTCTTCCATTAAAAAAAAATAGTAGACAACAGGTATTTAGAGCACTCATGACTCCTTGTGGCCAGTTGTAAAAGGTTATGAATTCTCCTTTAAGGAGGAATACAGTTAAGTTGAATGAATAGAAAACACTGTGTTAAATTTCATAGTTAAATTTTTATTGTGTGACATCAAATGAATTTACCCTTTTCTACCTTGATCTTTTTACCATAACAGGGTAATTTGAAATATCTTACTACAAAAGGACTAGTCCTGGGTTGTAAATTTTCATTAATCTGTGAGGTTCTAGCTCCTTTTTACCAGAGAACAGTGAATCACCCAGAGTTGTATAACAGGATTAAATTAGAAGGCAGCTAGGCGGTATGATGGATTGAGTGTTGGATTTGAAGCCAGGAAGACCCCAGGTACTCTTGCAGACACTTACTGGCTGCAGGACCCTGGGGCAAATCACTTAACCTCTC